GGGTGTGTGGTTATGGCCGAAGGAGTCGACCATCTCTTTTCGTTCATTGCTGCCTAGGCCAAGTAGACCAGCGGTTCCCGGTACCAGTGTCAAGTAGCATCAGAGATTACTTTCTCAAGATATCGCGATCGGGTCAGCGAAATCCTGATATCGAGACGAAAATAAGCTTGAGACGGAGAGATAATACCAAGAAACTCGTCCCTGTACTGGGGCTCGGCGGAAATATGATGGGGTTTAAGCTCGGTTATCTTGACTAGTTAAAGCTTTGGTAGTAATAATTTTGACGAGATACTTGGTTTATCTATGATTTCTCTTTTGAGCAGGATGTCGCTCACCTTTTCATTCTTCACCCTCGTGTTATAGATAAAGTCAGCTTCCCGGGGAAGTCGTGGAATCGCCACACTCTGTAGCAACTCCAGGTGCCGCGCTTTTGAGTTGTCCTGGTGCCATTAGGCATGCAGTCATGTTCTCTTGGCTCGAAATCTTGATGAGCTGCACCCAGTCCTTGTTCTTCTGTCACACCAAACATTGTATTGCCCGTATTCTCACCCAATGGCGAGAATGTCAATGACATCACCATTCGTACAGGGACGAATAACATGCCTACGCATAGTCATGTAAGCAGAATTGTCTGTCATCTTGTAGTCGACCAGCACGGTTTGAGCCGAGGCACTTTCCCAGTACTATGATGATTGTTGATGCATTGTCTCCGCTTGTGTACGGAGTAGATGTCGGATATTCATCACCGGTGGAGGGTGGAGCCGATCCGAGGTCACGTGACTAACCTCGGCGGCTCGCTCACTTACACCTCCACGGATATCCACGGCAGTTGCCAACTTCGAACCTTTAGCAACTCATACCACTTTCTCGCAGCAATAGTAATATACGCTATTTGTTGCCTCTGGTCGACCACCCTGTGATACCAACAGTAGACTTTCCAATCGACACAGAACATGACGGGAAATGGCTACTTCCGGGTAATAGTTGTTACGAAGCTCTAGTGGGTTAGATGATGAATTTGCGGCGAGTTACATATCCGCCACCCACGTTGGTAATGTCTCAATCTCGTGCGGGGGTTGCACAAAATGGAGTCAGCTCCATTGGCATGCCGCTTCCACTAGTCCCCGGATTGGATCGAATTCATGCTTTGTGGGGGCTCCGCAGACTTTCAGGAGTTGGCGATTCAGCCTAAATGCCCAAACTCGGTCTAAGTCGCAACAGGCTGTGCTTACGCGTGACAGGTGCAGCTCCGTCTTGTTTACCGACGATACTCCGGTTCGGGCCGTTGTTCCTTCGGCGGAACCGTCTCTTCGGCGGTTTATTCCTCGCCGGACTTGAAGGAAGATGACTTGGGCAAAACTCCCATCACATGAGCTATATTAGAAGAAACCAACGAGCAGACTCCCTGTTTCTCCCATCTATCACTTGCATTATTCTTCATTCATGAGCTGAATTTGTTTCACACCTCAGGATGACGACCAACAACACTCGCCTGGACATTGAAGCTTTGCTCAAACAGCTTAGCTGGGACGAGAAAATCGAGCTACTTGCCGGTCAAGGGTCTTTCCGAACCACCGGCCTTCCTCACTATGGCATTCCCGAGCTCATCGTGAGTGATACGTTTGACTCGAGGTGTATTAGACTGATACTCTCCAGACCTCGGACGGCCCGCATGGAATTCGCGGCCGTCGATCATTTGCTCGGGTGAGTATCCATACCTTAGTTAATGCCTAATATATGATACCTCTGGATCACCGAGATCGATACAGACGTGGTCATCATTACCATCGGGTTCTAACAAAACTCAGAATCCAAGTCCCATGTTGCCGTCTGCCACTGGCATGGGAGCGACTTTCAATGCCGATTTACTCCACAAAATTGGGAATTTGCTTGGTGAAGAAGCTAGAGCAAGAGGAGTCCATGTTTTGCTCGCCCCCACCATCTGTCTACAACGATCACCGCTTTTTGGACGAGGATTCGAGGCTTTCGCTGAAGACCCTTTTTTGAGTGGAATTCTTGGGGCGGCCTATATCAATGGCGTGCAAGAAAGAGGAGTTGCAACCAGCGTCAAACATTACGCTGCACACGATCAGTCCGATAATTCCATTGAGGACAACGTCTGTATGACGCAGCGGACGCTGCGGGAAATCCACCTCATGCCATTTCAGCTGGTCATGCGCGACGCAGACCCCTGGACCTTTATGACTTCATACAACAAGATCAATGGGACTCACGTCAGTGAAGACCCTCTGCTTTTGAAGCAGGTTCTACGAGGCGAATGGGGTTTCAAAGGGCTCGTTATGAGCGATTGGTTCGGCACATACAGCACTTCAGAAGCGTTAAATGCCGGCTTAGACTTGGAGATGCCTGGACCGACACAGTGGAGGGGCAAGTGTCTAAGCTTAGCAGTCAACAGTCGGAAAGTGGCCCGTACAGCAATCGACGATGCTGTGAGAAATGTTCTGAATCTTGTCAATAAGGTTACAGATGCGGAACCGGCCAGCTATTTCTCGGCGTCGAACACACCCCAGCAACAAGCCTTGATTCGTCAAATAGCTTCAGAAAGCATTGTGTTGCTCAAGAACGACCGCAAAGTACTTCCCATCCCGAGGACAGGAAAGAAGAGAATTGGCATGATTGGTGATCACGTCAAAAGCCCTGCTCTAAGTGGCGGTGGAAGTGCAGAAGTCGAACCTTACTACTCCGTGACACCATTCGATGCCGTTGTTGAGGAAGTTGGCAAAGAGAACGTCTCATACGCCCTCGGGTGTCATTGTAGGCTCATTCCGGGTGAAACTGCGAGACCATATATCGGGGCTAATTTGGTTCGCAGCTTTCAGGTTCAGTCCGCTCCTTAAAAACCTCGCACCCACGGAGCTACGGCATGAGGGCTTTGGGTGGTCCGTCGAAATTTTCGGAGAAGATCCAGACGAGCATGTTGATGCTGAGGTGCTTGTGTCGGCCCACGCACAAAAGGAGTTGATTGACATTCCTGAAAGCTTCCATGCGTCGTTGCCGAAGAAGTTCTATGCTAGAGCCCGAGCAACCTACACACCTTCTACCTCTGGCCCTTTCCGTTTTGGGTTCAGCACTTCCGGCAAAGGAAAACTGAGAATCAATGGGCAGGAAGTCGTTGACTTGTGGAGTGACCAGCCGGTCAAAACGGGACCTACCCCATGCTTCAATCGACTTTCCATGGAGAAGTTCTATGATACGACTGTTACTGAAGGGCAGTCCGTCAACTTGGAGGTTATCCAAGTGAATGAGGATCTTTCCGGGGGCGTCGGTACGGCGTTGACTCTCGCAGGTCGCGTTGGGGGATTCGAAGTCATCGATGAAAATTTGGCAATTAAAGAAGCTGCCGATCTTGCAAAGACAGTTGATGTTGCAATCGTCGTAGTTGGTCTTTCCTCAGACTTTGAGTACGAGGGGGCAGACCGCAAACACCTCAGGCTCCCAGGTCGCGTTGACGACTTGATTCAAGCCGTGCTCGAGGCTAACCCGGATGCCGTAAGTGTTCCATGTGGCTACAACAGGCAACCTACCAAGCTTCATTACTGATATTGTACTTTAGATCATTGTGACCCAATCAGGATGCCCTATTGAGATGCCCTGGGAGTCCAAAGCAGCCACTCTGGTCCACGCATGGTTCGGCGGCCAAGAGACCGGGCATGGTCTCACCGATGTTCTCTTCGGTAACGTCAACCCCTCTGGTAGACTTTCTCAAACTTTCCCAAAGTCCATCAAGCATACACCCGCGTACCTCTCATTCTCCAAATCTGACTACGACATCGTGTACGGTGAGGGAGTATTCATCGGCCATCGATACTACGAGTCGGTTGATAGAGACCCCCTCTTCTACTTTGGCCGAGGTCTTTCTTACTCGACATTCGAATACGCGAACCTTCAAGTGCCCAAGACTTTTGAGCCATCTGAAGAGCACAAAATGAGTATCTCGGTTGATCTGAAAAACAATGGCCCGTACGATGGCTCTGAAGTGGTGCAAATCTACATACACGACCCAGAGAGTACGCTTTTGAGACCCGTGCGAGAGTTGAAGGCCTTTGCAAAGGTATTCCTGGTTTTAAACGAGAGAAAGACTGTAGAGCTGGTTCTTGACAAATATTCCCTTTCGTACTGGTCTCAGGAGAGATCCAAGTGGATCGCAGAGGCCGGGGACTATGTCATCATTGTGGCTTCAAGCTCCAGACCGGAGGATGAGATTTTACGTGCTAGCTTCAATCTCTCAGAGACGTTCTTTTGGGAAGGTATATAAAAATTTGGATTGTCTGGTATACGTGAGTAACAAATACGCTATCTATCCTTTCTCCCAGAAGCTTTGCGTTTAGATGCACAGGAGCAAAAGGAAAGCGCCAAGAATATGGTCGCGACTGGGAATATATTCATCGAACCTTTGTACTACTTACAACAAAACTTTTTCTCAAACTTATGAACATCAAGTTCTCCACACATCCTAACACTGATACTTAAAGTTCTGACTATAACGTTGAGCTTGCCTATAGAGCTGAAGAACTCGGGTTTGAATGGGCTTTCAACTGCATGCAGTTGTTTTCCAGATGCAACTGCAACGGCGGAGCTTAATTTATTAACTCCTTACTAATTTTGATGGCAAAGTATGGAGTAGCCGTTAGACAATGCATGTCCTCTGCGGTCCACTCCACCCACGTCACATCGTGAAGTAAGGTGCTACTTTGGACCATATTGCTCAACGCCGCGGGGTTATCGATGTTTCCACGTGACAAAGAGCCTTATTTGCTACCGGATGGTTAGTTATCAGCGTGTCGAGCACGACAAGTGATGTCAGATCACCGTACAGATAGTAGACGTGGTCAACAATCCCTGTATTTGGATGATCTCTCTATGTTATGTGAAAGAAAAAGAAAAAAAGATTTCTATTAGAATATCAAGATTAATTATCGTAGCACTGAAATACGGTTATCAAGGGTCTCCTTTGAAATAATACCTAGTCAAGTAGCACACTATTTAGGAAGTGGTGACTTGAAATTATTTGGTGGTGGGCTTAGTGGTGTCGGACACTCCAAATTCACATCCTCCTCTCTTATTCCAAAATAGTAGACATCATCGTCAGAGTCCCTCTCTGTCAACGCTATGCTCATGTGTCTCCGAGCACTCAGGTCTCTACGCACACCACCCTCTTCAGCACTAATATTCCCTTCGCTACGTATACTGTTTCTGATGCTGTTACTTCTCGTCGAAATGCCTCCGGGCTGGACGGTTGCTCCGCTTTCCCGCCGTACACCATTCACCTCTATCCTCGGCATTTCTGCTTCGACCGGCGGTCCTGAAACCATTGGAATTGGCGATAAACTTGGCACCACAGATTCCATTAGCACTGCAGGCGCCGGCTCAATTTCGTCAACCCCTGCAATCGTCGAAGACTGGCTGCGTTGACGACTCCGGTTCCAAGAAAAGCTAGGCTTTGGCTTTTTTACGACGGCGTCTGACACCCAGCTAATTGACGAGGATATCACATCTGTATGATGTCGCGAGTTGCAACGGTGACGGTGTGTGCTGTCAAAACCGCTTCTGCTGTATGCGCTTCTCCCAGGCAGATACTGAGATCTTTGAACCAGTGGACGTAGCGTAGGAACGCAACAGCATATGACGGCGCTTGATAGTTCTGCGACAGTCCAAACAATTGTTTGCGTGCTATCGAACGTTGGATCGTTCGATCTAAGAGATTCTGGAAGTGTGACGATTCGAATAATGGATATAGCACACGTACTGATAAGGGATAGAGATTAGCAAATCTTTTCTATCATATCCCCACAAGATACGAACGAAATAATCACGAATGTGCTTTGATCTCGGCATGTTACTTACAAAAACCCAAGAAAAAAACTGGCAAATAACGCTGACTTCTGCAGTTTCTGTAGTCTGATTTGACCCAGTAGCGGCATTGGCAGAATAAATATAAATATGTCCGTAATCAGGTGTATGGAAGCGTTTGTGAGCCACCAACCCAAGATGTCTATGGACCAACTCAACTTGTTGCTGTATAGCAAGCTGTAGGTAATTACTGTGGAAATGACTAGCGAGATGCCGAATAGGGTTAGGAATGCGATCCCAATGTTACAGACCAACTCGACCTTTGGGAGAGGGAAGATTCGGCGATACTGCAACAGGAAAGCAATCTTAATCGTGGTGAAGGCAACGTTATACAATGTGATGACGAGTATAGAGAACTTTAATCGCAGTGTTAAATTTGTGTGTAAGCCCTTCGAGAAGGTGAGAACTTACCTTCTGAGTTTTGATGATCACCCTAGGTGATAGCGTCCAGAAATGTTTTCCGAATCCCAATCTTGTCGCTGTTGTGGAATACTAATCAGCTGATTGACTCCCAAGCGTTGAGCATCGTGGATGGTATTGTAGATCCTACCTAGACACATCACTATATCGTGAAGTAATATTATAAAGAATGACGATACGACAACTGTATCGTCTATTCCCCATTTTCTTATTAGGAAAGCCCTGACGTAAACTCGTAAACCAACAAATATGGTTGTAACCACTAACAAGCTGACAGTTATGCCCAGGATCAGGTCGGACCGACTCCCATATGAGGTATCGGGGAAACCAGTCCCCATCGAGTCGACCTGTTCACCGATGCTGCCGGGGGATGAACCTATGTCTAGCTTCAACGAACTGAACCAGATCAGCATTGGAACATTCGGTTGGTCTATCGGCTCATTGAGCCTTCGACTGCCGTTTGTCGGTGGTAAGGAGCGTCTCGATCGAGAATGTGTTTGCCCCCTCGCGTCGTGTAGACTACTTGGAATTCCGACAATGTAGCGGTTTTTGTTGTTTCTTCTTCGCCAAAAAGACTCGATGCTGTTAGATAATGAGATTGATCGAGTTGTCACAACCGCGGAGCAGTCGACAGCGGAGCGATGGGGAAAACAAGAAACAGGGTAGAATGTTTAAGCTCGAGGAAAACAAGACACATATAGAGGACGCCACTTCTTTTGATAGGTATGCTGACATAACCGCTACCATCATTTTCAGTACGCGTTCGTCGAAATGTCTCGGAGATTTCACGCACTGCAGAACCTATTTCTTCCGGATCCGGTGACTGATCGACTAGGTCGCGCTTAGCGTAGTATTCATTGAGATATCCAGAATTCATTTTCATTACCATGTTTGAAGAGTGGCTTATTTGATCGAAAGTGGCGAAAATTTCAGATCAATGTCAAAGAGGTCGTGACATCGATTCGATAATGAACTTTTGTCTTAGTTGTTCAAAGGAATGCATTCCATGGCTGCGTTACAGATTATCTAGTGGGCGGATTTGGGGGTTCCACTGGCCGTTGCTTGGTGTAACCCTGTAACAGTCTATTGTGATATAGTGGTGATAAACAATAGGTCTGGTATTCAACCGAGCTTGAATCTTGGAGAACTATTCTCCTGCGATTCCTATGGCTATCGCAAACTAAATAGTCCCCGCTCCCTGAGACACTTTGCTAACCTTAATGGTCGTGTTGCCGGTTACAGCCAGGGCCTTGCAGGTGGCTGGCACTCCCCTGTGACAAGCCCGCTCAGGCGCTATTCAACTCTAATACCCCACTTGCAGGCGCCCCATATCCGGACATCCGAGAATTCCGCATTTCTCCTCCTTTATCAACACCACTACATTTTTCAAACTAATAAAGACTTGAAAAGGCTTACTAGCCTTAGTAATAGTAACTATATACTATATCATATAATCATTCCCTTTATATCTCTCGTGTTTATTACTTTCATTATAACCTTTTATAGTTAGATTTAATTATTTTAGAATAACATCTGTCATATAGTTATAACTATCTTAAGTATACTATAGTTTAGAATTACTAATAAGTCTACTAGGGGGTTATAGTATAGCACCTTTATAATATTATGTAGCATTATAGAGATCTAACTAGAGCTAGAACATCTATTAATCTAGTATCTACTGCCTGGATCCGCTATAGAGACATGTATATCTATAAACCAGACTAGGCAGTCTAGAGCGTAGATAGGCAAGCCGTTTCCCTATGACTTTCTGTGATCAAATAAGTGCATCAATGACAACAGCTATATATTAACAGACTTCATGTGGGAATGCTTCTAGAACAAGATATTTCTACTATATCTACTGCCGCACTCCTCTGCTGTCCTCCAGCCGCTGGATATATCGGTCTTCAGCCCATTCAAGCATGCCTATCGCAGAGAGGTTAGATGTCTAGATGACTGCGTTAGTGTTTCAACTGTTGCTAGCAAGAGGGTATTTCTGGCCTGTTATTTAAGGGCCTGCCAGGCATCTATCACAATCTACAACACCAAGAGTGGCTGGAGGTCAGCTGGACTATGGCCAATATGTATACAGCGACCTCTATCTAACCAGTTGGTATCAAAGGCATCATCCAGCCAGCAGACCAGCCAGCAGACTAACCAGCCTAGTAGCTAGTAGTAGGATGAATCCATATTTATTGTCCCATAGTCAACCCCTTGTTAGTCTGCTAACCTACGGCATCAACTACGCCAGTTAACCCAGCTAGGCAAGGATGGGTTAGATACTTATACTATTCGTCACCTATCTAGAAAGGTGCAAAAGGGGTATGATGAGGAGGCATCTAGAAGAGCACTTCTAGAGCAGAAGTTCCGCCAGCTAGAGGGTCAGTTGGATAACCTACGGCAACGCAAGAGGAAAAAGGACCCCTTATCGCCCAACAGCACCTTCGCCACTATATGGGACATCCAGTGGGCGCAAAGTACGGATATCGGCGATATGGATAGTCCGGATGAATCAAACGTATCCGAATTATCCAGCGAGGCCGAAAGTTGCATATGGGTGGGCGGCAGACCTAGTGAAATAAGTGGTGATAGTGGTGGTGATGGTGGTGGTGATGGTGGTGGTGATGATGGTCCGGATGTGGGGGGTGTCCGCAAGTCCCCAGGGGTAGTTGAGTTACATAGCCCCGAGCTATCTATATGCCGCTCGTTCGGAATGACGATTCGACAAGCCAACGAGCTAGGAAACCGATTTACCGACAACGCCAAAGCAATCCATGGGGTGAAAAATCGGAGAGACCAGAGACTTTTGATTCTGTTGCGCGGCGTTGTAGCACTACACCACAGCCAATGCTAACCAGCCTTAAGGCTCATACACAGGGCCAGCATCTCTCACCTAGACCCAGATACGTAGTCAAAGACTTTGGCTATTATTCATCATAGAGACATCATCCTTGCGATTTACATTTCTGATCATATTTTGACAACGTGATTGATTATTAAAGCCCTTTAGGATTTAAGAATGTCTCCTATAGAATACCGGATAATACTTATTTGTTGTTTGTAGATGTTTTAGACCCCCATAAGCGGACAATTGTAGTTCAGCAGGTAGAGATACTTCTCAACATGTACAGTCCGTTACATAGCACATCAGCTCTACGCTATATCCCGATATCTTGATATCTTAATACAGTACAAGTAACGTAGGGCAAGTGTCGAGTCAGTCTTCGTGACTATAGGACATCAGCCTCGATAGAGTTGTGGGGTTGCTGAATTGGCAAGATAAAGTGAAAGCTGTCGCTAGTAGAAGCTCTAAAACACGATACGAGGCCTTAAGCCTGAATGTCCTCATATTAGAGCCCTGTAGCTCCGCTTCAAGCACTACAGCATTTAGTTCATTAAGGTTCGTCAGATCATGAACGCAGCCTAGCCTTTAGGAGGCTTTGGTTTCAAATACCGCAGCCGTATCAGTTAATTGCACGTTTTGGTGTTCTGGATCGATCCGAAGGGTATCACAGAGTTATCAAGTGTAACTTGGACAGAATGGTTCGATTTCTATTATACTATAACTTGAAGCAGTAAGAGCAAGTTGTGTATGTATGAAAATAATTAAGCAATCACATATTAACATGGGAATTATCATCTGGACAGAGGGGACTTGTATTTGCCTGAAGTCTTGGTAGTTCGCGACTCCTCCCACTTATTAATTAATGACCTTATGATCCTCGCTGGAAAGGTTATGAATGTCTTGTGAAAGGCGTTTCTGATGACAAGTAGCTAGACTTTCGCATTAAGAGATCTTGTTAGGATATGTTTCGAGCTTGCAAACTAAGTTTCTGTGAGTTGAGTGGACGCTGCTCTTTACAACCATTCACATTTGCTTGTTTTTGTCTTCACTAGTCAGCAAAATGCCATCACTGGAGACTATACTACTCCCGTTGGCTTTCAAAGTACTTTCGTATGGATGCTGCGAAGTGGCTTAGCATTGATTTTCTGGTGCAAAGGACGGCGGGTCAGATGGATAGTTGAAAGTCAAAGTCTTCTGCTTTAATATTTTAACAATGTCACGAGGTGATATAAGGCGTTAGTTGTGCTGCTGCAACTAACGGCGTCGTTTTTGTGCGACAAACAACAAAAAGCATTACAGAAGACGCAAATCGATGATGGCAAGTATTGGAAGCCAGTTTCTGACAACACGACAGGTGGTCCTCCCCCTTAGGATGAACGACTAAAAGTCGATGATGACATTCAACCTAACAACGTCAACTAACATAGTGTGGGTTTGAAACTGAGCCTGTATTGGCCGGATAACTCGAAAATAGAACGCTAACGGCAAGGGATCATCTATATTGGCCAATGTCTTAGTGTAGCATACAGGGCCGCATGCTTTGCGATGGCGAGCGCCAAGGTCCAGGGAGCCGTTTGTCTCAGTACATGTGCCGATGAGAAGCTGGAATCTATCCCCACGCAAAAGCGCACGTAGAAAAGTTTCGTAGGTCGCCCATCCTTCCGAATAATTGCCGTAGCATATCCGTGGTATGCGACCGTCGACCAGCATTCCTCCCAACAAAAACATCTCACTTGAGAGTCACTTTTGCCAAGGGCAACTGAGTCTGTTGACGATCTGCCAGCCAAACAGAAGACGCAATTGAGATAAAAGATCCCTAGATCGAGACAGGTTCGTTGCAGATCTGGATGTCGCTTGGCGTGATTGTACGAGGCTGGTCCCTCGGGCTGGGCTAGGAATTGAGGTTTTGATCGACCGTCACCTACTGCTCGTAGGACGCGAGATGGACACGGCAATTGAAACATTCGCGTCTTCTCCTGAAGGATGATACTGGCATTGAGGATCCGGCATTCTCTTATCGTGAGCCAACAATATACATGCCATTGTTCCTACACGTAACAGGTAAGGGGTTGGAGTGATCTTGTTTTGGGGACAAAAGTGCAGCCAAACGGTGCCCTTGTTGTTTGAGAGCATTTACCTTTGACAAGGTATCGTGGAATTGTTTGTTCCTTCTATTCAACTTTGTCAACCAATCATCACAGTCTATAATGTTGCTGAGGATTGGGAGTCGTACAGAAATGCAGAGCACTCACCGACAACCCCGACCACGCTCATTGCGCATGGTATATTGCAAGTGACGTTCCACGTAGACCAGCCGCGAGGCGTTTTTCCGCCATGTTATTCTGCCTAATATGATCTTACTACTACCGAGGAGCCATGAGGATCGCGCCGCTTGAAACCTCGGACACGTTTAAAGCCTAGCCTGTGCGTGGCATCTACTATTGTCTCAAGGCGGCCACCTAGAAAGACGGTGTAGTGTTCGAAATTACCAGCGCAGGCTAGACACGATTTCCACGAGCAAAACGATGGGAATAGAACAAAACCAGCTTCCAGACTTCGTATCTCAGCCGCCATCATGGAAGCAATGTTCTAGCTCAGCGCGTTGGATGCCGAAATCATAGTCCAAGTGGAGAGCCACCGATCTCAGCTTGTTGAGAGGCTTGATAGTCCAAGACATGTCACGAAGGCTTGGTCTAAAGTTAAAGTGTTACTAGAACTATGTGGTATATTAAAGGTCGGGTGCCAAGCGGTTTGGGGGCCTCCCTACCAAAGTTCGCTTACGGTGCTCTGATGACGCTCCGTAAAATCTACATTGTCCCTTCCGGAAGAACACTATCTGTGCTAGCGGGCCGTCTCAGCATATCATGTCTGCTACAAGACCCTCGTCTTATTATTTCAAGTGAAGATGGGTCGATACGGTTCAATAATTTCACGGGACAGCATCTCGCAGCGCAGGGAGACGGGCAAAGGTATCGGGGCTCCAGAGAATACAGGTAGCCTCAGCTATAATTACTGTATGAAACCAGACAGGCAGAAACCGGGTTTCTCAGTCGCAGTCGTGGCGTAACTGTTTCTCGCTTTACATCCGACGCAGGGCTTATGAAGACCTTTTCATTAGATGTGACTCGCACGTGCGGCGCCGGATACGATCCCGTTCACTCTCACGCGTCGGTAGCGCTTGCTTTTCGTCAAAGTCGTATTGTTTTGCAGGCTTCCAGGCCATAACTTTCTTCTTCCGATCCTTTGAGCCAATCAGCCGCGTTCGGAACGTCTTTAGGGTGCCTCCTTGCGGCTAGTAAAGCCTTCCTCCCTCTCTGTGCGGCTTTCGGCTCGTTCCCTGCCAAGTTCCGCCATCGGCTCGGTACCTATTACATCTCAGACAGACTTCATTTGCCCTTGCAGCAAGTTCGGGTGCCGGTCAACTCGAACCTCGCTACGATGATAGCGCAGTACTGCGGCCACACTAGGGAACACCCTCTCATCACGCAAGCGCATCTCTCATGGTCCTTAACTGACACCCCCGCGCGGGTTTCTGCGATAGCTCCGCACAGTGAGCGGTAGGTCCATCGCTACGGGCACAGCGCGTGCTAGTCAAGCCACATTCGCTAGTGTCCGCAGGCTTGACCTCGTGTCTATGTGACATGCTCAGGCAGGGATGGGTTTCCTAGATATCCTATGTCTCGACGGGCAAAGCAAGCAACAGTGGCGTTGGCTTCGGAGAGGTGAATTCTGTGATGGACAAACCGCGTGGTCAGCACTATGGATGATGCAATTGCGAGATGGCCCAAGGGAAGAAGGAGTCTCAGACCCAGAGAGGCGTGATACCGGCGGCAGCGGCTCTTTGCCCCCCATCCCTTGGGTACTGATGCGTTCATGTCCGTTGGTGCTTTCTTTGGTCATTCGCGTTGTATACAGAAGGCCTCCTCAGGATGCCCGTAGATGTGTATATAATCCCACGTTTCCAGGCGGGTTGGCAAGATATCGACCTCATCATCACAGCAGCGCAGTCATCTCCTGCATCTCTCCCCAACGACAAGCTCCCGACAATCAACCCTTCGAAGCAGCCGCTCCGAAGCCTAACGGTCCCTAGTCTTCCCAAGAGATTCATTCTTTCTTTACTTCCAGCACAGCCATGAAGCCCTCCACTTCCGCCGTGTTGGCCACCCTCTTTGGGTTGAGCGCTGCTCAGTGTGCCAGGGACAACTGCCTTAGAGGTTAGCCACATCCATCTATACATCGAAACCCTTCCCCCGGAAATATTCACCAGGAGTTCACATAGACTAACACCTCACCCTTTCCAGCTATCGCGGCCAGTGCCTTCACGACCATAAGCGGTACTGCCGACTGCTCCAGGTTCCTGGAGGTGACCGTCTACCCCGGTGCCTCGTAAGTTATCGTCTCCAACCCCAGTCGCCCGTCACTGGCTAACACCTGGAAGCACTACCACCGAGACTGTCACGATCCCGACAAGCGGCGTCTTCACCTCGACTGCCACCGTCACCGAGACCGGCCCGGCCTCCGTACAAACCATCGTGGTTTCCCAGAGCGCCGTCGTCTCCGCCACTGCGACCAGCGTCGTCGGCATCACCGAGGCCACCACCGTCGCAACGGAGACCATTGTCGTTCCTACGACCGTCCTTGTGTCCAGCACTCGTACCCTCGTCTTTGGTTCTACCCAGATCACCACCGTTGCCACCGAGACCCAGACCGTGTACGAGACCATTGCTCTCGAGAAGCGCCAGGGCCCCGTGACCGCCGTCTCCGGCACATTCCCATCATACGCAAGTGCCTGCAGCTCCGTCGCCCGCTACGCCTCGGCCTGCTCGTGCCTCGGCGTCTTGCCCAACACCGTGACCTCGTCGACCGCCGTCGTCACCGTCACCGCCTCGGTCCCGGCCACGATCCTGTCCACCGCAGTCACCACCGTCACCGTGACCAACCCGGTCTCGGCTTCGATCGTACTCACGACCGCGACCTTCACCTCCACGGCCCTCGAGACGGTCGTCGTCACTTCCACGGACCTCGAGTCGGTGACTGCCACGGAGTCCGTCATTAGCACCGCCACGGAGCTCGTTGAGGAGACCGTTTCTGTGACTTCCACTTTCTTTAACAACGCTACCTTCACGACTTTCGTTACCAGAACCAGTTCGGTGCCCGTTATTTCCAACAGCACCACCCTCACTTCCACCATCTCCGCGTCATTGTCCGGGTCCGAGACTACTAGTTTCGCCAACACCACCACGTCTCTTACTACCTCGACCTTGACGTCGACCTTGTCCAACACCACCACGACCTCGGTCTCCACCAGCTCCGTGGCGACGCTCTCGCCCAACGCCACCACGACCTCGGGGTCTGCGTCTATCACGCCCAGTGTCTCGTCGACCACCAGTTTTTCCAACACATCGACGTCGGCAGTCGAGACTGTGACGAGCTCCTCCTCCTCGAGCTTCTTCCCGAACGGCACCTTGACTCAAACATCCCTGTCCGCTACTTCGACTTCGTTCTCCAACACGTCGACGTCGGCAGTCGAGACCTCGACGAGCTCTTCTTTCTCGAGCTTCTTCCCCAACGGTACTTCCACTCAGACATCCCTATCCGCGTCTTCAACCGGCTTCCCTAACGCTACTTCCACCTCGGTCTCTGCGTCTTCAAGTGGTTTCCCTAATGCTACTACTTCTACCGGGGCTTCATCGTCCTCATCCGCCACTCTCTTCCCCAACAGCACCACGCCTGTGACTTCTCTGTCTGCTTCTTCTACTATCTTCCCCAACATTACTTCCACTTCCTTGTCCTCTTCTTCCACTCTCTTCCCCAACGGCACGCTCACTTCGACGAGCCTGTCGGTCACCCCAACTCTTTCCCTGAACGTCACTGCCACTTTCTCTGCTTCTTCAACTGGCTTCACTAATGCTACTACTTCCTCTGCTTCTTCAACTGGCTTCACTAATGCTACTACTTCTACCGGGACTTCGCTGTCCTCTTCCTTCACTCTCTCCTCTAATGTCACTGCCACCGCGACTTCCCTGTCTTCGTCGGCTGTTTTCCCGAACGGCACCACGACCAGCGCCTCGGCATCCGCTTCCTCAACTCTCTTTCCTAACACCACCATAACCGTGTCGTCTACGAACTCTGTCATCACCATCACCATCACTGACGACGTTCCTACCTCCACGGTGACTAGCAGCAGCTCTTCCTTCAGCGTCACCTCAATCAGCAACAGCACCGTAACACCCATCTTCGTCGAGACCACAAGCACTTCCACGGGGGAGACCTCCACTGCCACCTCTTCCGCTGAGACCACCTCTTCCGCTGAGACCACCTCTTCTGCGGAGACCACCTCTTCTGTAGAGACCACCTCTTCCGCTGAGGCCACCTCTTCCGCAGAGACCACCTCTTCTGCGGAGACCACCTCTTCTGCAGAGGCTACCTCTTCCTCGACCGTTGAGAGCAGCACCCTCGCCACCAGCACTCTCGCCACCAGCACTCTCGCCACCAGCACCCTCTCCACCAGCACCCTCTCCACCAGCACCTCTTCCTCCGCGACTGCGACCCCCACCGGCAACTTCCTCCGTAACCTCTGCCTCAAGGTGGTCACCGGCCCTGTCCCTGGCTCCGTAGTCGCCGCCGGCGCCAACCGCTTCACCATCAAGCCCGCCGCCTCCACCGCCGCCCGCTTCGACATCAACCTCTCCACGGGCGAGGTCTACCAGTCCAACGGCAAGCTCATCGCCGCCCCGGCGCCGTACGAGGATGACAACCGCCCGGTCAACGGCTACACGCCGCGCGAGGTCCTCGTCCGCAAGCTCGCGCCCGTCGTCTGCGTCGTCAACAACGGGTCCGTCACCGTCGGCGTGCCCCTCTCCTGCACGGCCTCGGGCAACGACGGCGTCAACGCCAACGACTACTCGCGCTTCTACTACAACCGCAACTCGGGCGACTCGGTCCTCCGCATCGCCACCGCCGGCAAGCAGTTCGTCCCCAACAACCAGGAGATCACCCTGGCCCCCTACGACGGCGACGACTGCGCCTAAGTTGCTTGTCTTCTTTCCCCCGTCGAGAAGGGTCATCTTTTACTCTGTGACTTTTCTTCTTGGAGGGCCTTCGTCGCGGCAGCTACTTGGGCTGCATCGCGGATGAGCCGTGTAACTCTCGATCATGATTGGGCATTTTTGGGCGCCATAATCATGTACTTATATACTTTGGAACCCGCGTAATGGATAGCTCACTACATACTCTCGTTAAAATGAATGGATATTATAAAATAACACTTGGCGCAAAAGATGTGTGACACGCATTAGTTCTCATTCGGTCAATCTCAAAATGACCAAGTATAAGCGCATTGCTCGAGCTTCTCTTCAGCGTTTCAAGGCATCATCTCTCATTGGGGGGGGCTAAAGGTTTGTCCGGGGTAAGGTGCTGTTTCGTCACCTATCTAGTCTGTTTCTTATCATCAGTAGTTCTTGATACCCCCGGACGGTATGTCGGCCAGATGCCGCGACGCCAACGAGAGCAAGACTGGCCAAGGTGCTCTGTCCCCGTCTTGGCATGAACGACGGAAGACGCGGAGAGGAAGCAACCAAACTTTCCCACGTAACAGAGCTGCACACAGTAGCATCCGTTTCGAGGTCGAGAACGACTTGGCTGGCCGCGACCCACCTGTAACGAACGTTCTCGACATTGAGCGGTCCCCCTGGTTTCGGTTTCGATGTAACCCAAGTTCGCACGCATCAATGCCTTGGGGTCAACCCCCGGGCTGTCTGTCTGATATCCTCTTCAAACCCTTGTCGCTCGAGGCACGGGGAGTCCACACACGTACACTCACACAATCCCACGGTGGTTGGTGCATCTGTACTCCGTACACCACTGCCCATGGACCCCTCCTTCGCTGAGGGCGGCCCGCGCCGGGTGCCCGAGCATGTTCCCTTGATGATGGATGGCCTAGACTCTTGGTCGTCGAAGGGCTCCTGGCGTCTTTTCGGGGCTTTTTGCATAAGGGCAGGTGGTCTGGGTTGGATCGACAGTCATCGTTGGCCTGGCGTCTGGCTCGTCATGTTCACGCGGAAGCTCCTTTTTCCAACCGAGTCGAACAAGATGATAGTCAGATCACGATATCGATCACTACAAAGCCAGTCGTATATTCAAATGTTTTCCATTCAATTCAGATATCTACCCACTGTAGAATCTGTTTTCAATATCTCATTCCGCGAGATGCAATGCCGCGCTCAAATACACACCTGTCATATTTTGTTTCCAGGCAATTACAATGAAAAGAAAATCCAAACCGTTCCAGTGCGAACGCCACCTTTTGGGGCGTATATGATTTTTCCGTGCCTTGAATGCTCCTGACGCAAATCGCTGAACCAATTTATCGTCCCTTGCTGAACCATGCGGCAAGGGACCATGACTATGGAGATGTTGGAAGAAAAGAAAGAAATTCCCGAAAATGAGGCCACAACAAGTGGCCGAGGACAGAGGCGAAGGACGGGTATCCTCTACACGTTGTTGTCGCCCCTGAGCGTGGTTGCGCCCTCGCTGCTCGTCTTCTTACCACCAGACTGGGACTCCACCTTGTCGAGAATGACCTTCTTACGGAACTCAAAGACGGTGTTGTGCTTGGACTTGATGGCCTCGCGGACGCGCTCCTCGGAGCGACTCATCCAGACGTGGTAGGGAGCCATACTCGCAGGGTACAGGGGCAGGTTGCGGGGAGACTCCATGAACCGGTAGGGGTCGCTTTTCTCGAAGGAGGCGATGATGTCGAGTTCTGAAGCGATCTGCTCGCAGTAGGCCTCCAGCGGCAGGTCGTTGACGTCTTCGCCAAAGGGGTTCTCGATTTCGCGGCCAATGAAGAGGATGCCGAGAATGATATAAGCGGCAGCGACGGTGGCGGGGATGGTGATCCAATCGAGCTTGTCGATCAACTGGAAGGGGAGCAGCATGACGTAGACCCAGGTGATTTGACTGATGGCGATGGTGTAGGCGATGGGGAGCGGGGTGGTGAGAACACGTTCGGTGCCCGTCATGATGTCGTTGAGGAGGGCGACGTTGTTGTAGGCCAGGGTCTGCTGCATGGGGACCTTGAGCTGGCCATCCTCGACCATCTTGTCGACGACGCAGGAGATGTGGTTGAGGATCTCGAGGGGAAGGTTACCGAGGGGGCGAGAGGCCTTCTTGATGGTCTTGCGGGGGTTACTGGCGGCGAAGGAGACGCCGAGGTACTCGCCGGTCTCCTTGAAGAAGTTCTTCTTTTTCAGAACAAGTTTCTCGGGCTCGGCGGCGGTGGCCTCCTGTGCAAAGGTCTGCAGGTGGGCGACGAGGTGCTCGAGATCCTCGTAGGCGGTGTAGGGCTCAAAACGGAGCTTGTGCTTAATGGAGACGGCAAAGGCCAAGAGAAGGTTCATGCAGCCGACCTTGCGGAGAAGAGATTGTCTGGGATCGAGGCCCTCGGGATCACCACCGTGAATCCAGAAGACGCGACCAAGACTCTGCGAGGCAAGAATGAGCTGGGCCCAGTAACGTCGGCCCTCGGCGTAACGTTCGTAAGCGGTGGAACTGCGGAAGGAGAGGCCCAGACCGACGACGAAACCGAGAACGGTCAAGAGAACAGAGTCAACACCCATGTTGGTGCGGAACTTGTCGATACAGGTGATGGCGGCAGACCACATGGACATCCAGATCAAGGGGACGATCATTTTGGGCAGGATGCTGCCGTGCATCTGCATGAAGAGGGGCCATTTGGAGTGCTTGAGGATATCGCGGGGACCGGTAAAGTAGTCGTCAATGTCTATGCTCGTGTTCTTACGGCTGAAGGGGTTCGGGGTCATGGGGCCGGTGGGCGACATGGTGTCGCGGATCTCTTGGGTGTTGAAGCCGGTCATACGCGGCTTGCTGGTGAACTGGGACTCCTGCTTGGGCTCGTTACCGCCCGTCGAGGGGTGGTAACCACCTTCTTCGGCCATGGTATCGGGAGTGTTGAGGGAAGGTGTTCTGGCGGAGTCGTAGACTTGTGTATTGATTACTGGAACTTCGTGGGCCGAATTCGGGAGCTTGGGCATGGTGGGAGGGGGAGGGGGGGGTAGTTAAAGGACGTCAGGCGTGATACCTAGTTCTTTGCGTGTCAATTAGAGCTGGACCCCGGCCGGCCAATCGACAGCGATAACGAGTGAGGGATTGGTGGTCGACGGAAGCGTGGCAGATCACGGAGTAGGTAGCAGTCTTGGGTATACGAGGCGTGGCGCTTGATCCGTGTGTGAAGGGGTAAGCGGCTGGAATGGGAGGACGTCCCGGCGAAGGAGGGGTGACCTAGTTTGGATTGGGATATG